TTATTAATTATTAAGAACTAATATACAGTTGTGTGACTGCACAACGCACCAAAAATACTGTGCGCACACCGTGCATATACATCGTCACACACCGTCTGCACATCGCCCACACATGGTGCGCACAACTGTGAGATTTAACAATCATTCGCCCCGTTGTGCACTTTTCTTTGGTACAATTTGTTAATCAATATAACGGAATGAAAAAAATATGGAAGGCTCGTATGCAATAATGTACACTGTATATAACAATTTGATGAGTGACCAGAGTTTTACCTGGCCTGTGCCTGACACATAGAGCTGATATGTGATACTGTATGACCGTTGTGAAAACATAACTGGATGTTTAGTACTTATTTGCATTCGCTTTGGTCTATAGCTCCCCTTCACCTGGTTTTTAAGCCTTGGCGAGTTACGTAAGTGCCCCTGGCAGGGGATTACTACGGCCCAGGTACAGGTACAAGTGGCTATGTTTACCTGTAACGTCGAGACTGGTGTTGAAATTTCACATGTGTCGATTTAGGTTGTTTAAAAAACACCGATAAGCTTATAGATGTAGCTAGAATATAGAAACATACTAAATAATCAAATTAATGTGTTTAAACACATGCACGAAACCGTATATATTGTTAAGGCATTCCTCAATTTACACCAACCATGATTGTTATCGCACAACATTCATTCATCCTCCGCACAAATGTGCGCAAACAATGATCGTCCAATTTTGTATCGTTCGCACTTCGTGCACACATCGTTCACACACCATACGCACACCATGTAACGTTGTGCGATCCCATAACTGTAACATCTCTCTTGTAAAGTAGACATAACAAGTAACATACAGGTATACTGTAATTTAGGAAAGCACCTCCTGCTTCACCAACAACACCTGCCATGTCAATCTTGGTCAAATGCAAGTAAAGACACACCCTAAGCTAGAGAACCAGGGTACTAGTAACAAAACCACAGGGCACACTTATCACTCCGCAAAACCACAGGGCACTCTTATCACTCAGCAAAACTACAGGGCACACTTATGACTCAGCAAAACCACAGGGTACACTTATCACTCAGCAAACCCAGAGGGCACACTTATTACTCAGCAAAACCACATGGCACACTGATCACTTAGCAAAACCACAGGGAACACTTATCACTCAGCAAGACCAGAGGGCACACTTATTACTCAGCAAAACCACATGGCACACTGATCACTTAGCAAAACCACATGGTGTTGAAATTTCACATGTGTCGATTTAGGTTGTTTAAAAAACACCGATAAGCTTATAGATGTAGCTAGAATATAGAAACATACTAAATAATCAAATTAATGTGTTTAAACACATGCACGAAACCGTATATATTGTTAAGGCATTCCTCAATTTACACCAACCATGATTGTTACCGCACAACATTCATTCATCCTCCGCACAAATGTGCGCAAACAATGATCGTCCAATTTTGTATCGTTCGCACTTCGTGCACACATCGTTCACACACCATACGCACACCATGTAACGTTGTGCGATCCCATAACTGTAACATCTCTCTTGTAAAGTAGACATAACAAGTAACATACAGGTATACTGTAATTTAGGAAATCACTTCCTGTTTCACCAACAACACCTGCCATGTCAATCTTTGTCAAATGCAAGTAAAGACACACCATAAGCTAGAGAACGAGGGTACTAGTAACAAAACCCCAGGGCACACTTATCACTTAGCAAAACCACAGGGCACACTTATCACTCAGCAAAACCACAGGGCACACTTATCACTCAGCTAAACCACAGGGCACACTTACGTATCACTCAGTAAAGCCACAGGGCACAATTATCACTCAGCAAAACCAGAGGGCACACTTATCACTCAGCAAAACCACATGGCACACTTATCACTTAGCAAAACCACAGGGCACACTTATAACTTATAACTAAAAATACATATATTTAAAAAGAAAAATTCTCAACAAGTCTTTAGTACTTTCATCTCTTCTAGGAGATTCCTCAGAATTAATAGTTCTCTACCTTAAGACCATAATTATGTATTTCTATTGCTGTGACATCGCTATGGCGGGTAAGTATATAGCGGACGTCGCTATAGCAAACTTTTATGTGACGTCATTGTTTATGACGTCACAACATCTTCTTCAAATAAACGGTCTGAAGAATCTCTTAGAAGAAATTAAAGTACTAAAGACTCGTTGTTGAGAATTTTTCTTTTTACGTTATTTCTTCGTCTGTAAGGATAATTTTTCTGCTTTTATAATATATATATATATACATGTACATATTGCCCAAGGAAATAGATATTTTTCCAATGAGATCCTGTTGGAAACCATAACACTTGCTCTAGTCTTTCCCAATCTGCATATCTAAAGACATGTTTTGTAAGTTTGTCTACCTACCTGGATCTAACCGGATTTTGTCCAACGTTTTTTTAATAAATTCTATCTCATATAAAATCGAAAATAAGTCGGCCATGAGAGGGGCACACTGGTTTAATGCCAACTGTGAACTGGAAAATCCATTGAACTCAACGATATTGTCAACCAGAAATTCAATCATTTTCATAATTTCTTATGTCTCATATCTTATTTTGGCTTATGCAATGTTTTTTCACAACACATGCTCTAAATGAGTTCACCAACCAACAAACATTTGTAACACTGTTCACCTTTTTCAAAAAAAAACACCTTTCATAACAATAGAATGAACAGACAATCACATGCCACATTACACACCACCAAATTTCTCACTATCCCATTACATGTTACATGTCATCACAGTGATTGAATTTTTTCAAAATCATTCCTAGAATCAGAGTTACAAAAAATTCCCCAGATACATTGTAACAGGAAAAACTTGAGCATTTTATACAAATGTGTTTGTTATCCTCATCATCAGCAACATCAGCGATTCAAGAAATGTGCAAAGGGGAATAACTCCTACATCACCTTATTCTTCTTTGTTGAGGGAATCTGAATGAGCATTTGTTTATACTGAATTAATGCTGCCCTGGTAAAATACCAGCTGCTTCCTACTGACTTGGCTTAGGAAAATTTCTTCTTATCTCAACTGGTAGAACATCAGACTATATATAGCTAGTAAACAAGAGGTCATGGGTTCAAACCCTTGCAGAGGCATTGCATAAAAAACAGTGACCTCAGTTACATTGGCTACATTGCAACCAGGGAAATATTGACAAAAGTACTTAACCTTGCTATCTCAAGCATCATTGTTATTACATGTCCTTTTCAAGAAGAATGTATTTTGAAGTAAACATAATTCATAAAACCAAAACGAACTTATTTTCTGAAGTGAAAGTCTAACATGTCTTCATGATGTTGTTCCAATGTCTTGTGAGGCACTAAAATTATTGTAACATTGACATTTATTACAATTAGAAATTTACTTTAAGTCAGCAAAATGCAGAAATGGATGTTTATGCATGGGTACTTATTCAGTCGTATTGCCAAACACAAAATGTTCAAATTTAAAAGGTTACAGAAAATATATATATGCAAAATGCCTTTATTAAACATTTTAAAATCATGTAATGGTTTAAAATACACATTATAAAATCATGCATTTTCAATACAAATAACTTTTTACATACCTGTACAAGACAGACAGGAAAAGGAACTAAACCACTTATAATTGAGTCACAATAGCCAAATAAATTTCAAGGTCCATATATACAAAATGTACATGTCTTTTTTATGGCTTACTCTGGGCCAATTCCTCTCTCCAATTTTGGCATTATTTCCCCCTTTTTCAGATAAAATTTCCCAACATGTTACTAAAATACTACCATGTGAATATCTGTCATGGTTCTATTGTGATTTTATTTTCCGTCAGTTCGATGACCAAGTGATTTATTTCATTTTCCCTGTGTTCATGTTGTCACTGTCAATATTTTATGACACTATTTATTGGAGGCCTTGTTTAAAGTATATATTTGAAGCATTTACAATGAACAGGAAGAACCAAAAATTGTAGATGTCATCCATGCTCCCCTCCATATTTTCCCCTAAAAAAGGAACCAACTTCCTATTCCTGCATTAATTCCTGTTAAACCAATATCCTTGTTATAGGGTCTCGTATGTTTAAGGGTCAAAAACTTTGTTGAAGGAGGGAGAAATGTATAGTATTGTGCATGTGGTATTGGACAGGATCAATCGCCAGTGAATATAGGCTAAAGCTCAATTGGTTAGAATGTCTGTCTAGATTTTGGAGGTTCCAGGTTCGAATCCTGGTCTAGCCATATACATTTTTTCCATTCTTGCTACACAAGTTATCCTGGGTACACTGTATATTTGGCCTTTATATATTATTATAAAAGGAAGATGTAGGAGGTGCGGCAAATCCTTAATAAAGATGTTGGAGGAAATTGTAGATGAAAAAGTGAAGATTGTGTATTAAACAATAAATGTATTTGTCAACGTTGGTGACAATTTTGAAAATGTCATGGACTCAAATGCAACAGTGCAATGTTTTATAACAGTGCAATGTTTTATAACAGTGCAATAATAATAGGTGTAACACTGTATAAATCAGGTAACCCAATTTTTCTCCTTGACGAAGATCTCTCTTGTGTCTTTCTCTACTCTAGGTCCATCCAGTGAGGAACCCGAAGGACTCGGGGGTAACATATATAGCCTCGAGCTCGCATCCATCGATAATGATCATGAGGACCTCATAGGGTACAAACATATACTGTTTATACTAATTTAACCCCAACAAGCAAACCTTTGTATATGGTATATAATTGATTATCTGGTATTCAGTGGTGAAGTGTTTTTAAGAAAATGCTCAATGTAAACAGACTCGCATTTCAGCGCTACCTTGACATTACTAATCTGCTGTTTGGCCAGTTGTCAATTGCATTTGTACGACAAATCAAATCAAAGATTTGATAAATACATCAAATTAACGTTATGAAACAAGAATATCGCATGCTACATCACCACGAATTCGTAAAAGGCACGTGTATATATTTACCTGCAGATTTGACAGTTGTTCGTCTGTTGTTTCCGTTTCCGAAAGCGTCCTTGACATTATAACGGAAGTAGTATGCAATTGAGTATAGCGGGAAGAATCGAGTTTGAAAATATATGTTAGAGCTTTTATACATATCTCTATTCTCGTGTCATAAGACCATCATTTAATACTTTATTTCTTGAGGGTTCACTGAAGTCAGATTAACGTTTAACTTCATGGTCCGTTAGTGTATCTGCAATGGTTTTCAAACCGTAACGTTACGCGTCACGTATTCTACTTTAGTATACAAATAATTTAAAAGCGGGAAAATTTGATTGGCGCTGAAGGGTGAAGTTCGAAGACAATTCCGGTGGACATTACATTTGAACTCATACTCATTATCAATATTATCATTAATACTATATTTATCGCATTTTTTCTCACACTGAATGTAAAGTTCGATCTTTTTCCAGTGAAAGTTATCTAACCTAGAAGCTACTGCTACAAGATCTGCTATCTCGGGGACAGTTTCAAAAGTTTGATGAGATTTTTCTCGGGTTAAAAGAAATAGAAGGCTTGGTGTATCGCTACTCTGCTCAGAGAAGTTTCCAGGTAAGCAGGTTTAATTCCGTGAGGTGATTTTAGGTAAAAAAATAATCTATCCCTGGTATTAATCTATTATCTAATGTGCTACACTACAGACTTGTACAGTAATATGTGGTTTGACACAGTTAACACTAATCGAAAAAATTGTATAAGTAGACCTTTACAACACTAGTCCATTATTTATTTATTAACCATTGACATTGTACCCCTTTCTCTTTCAGTGGAACTAAAAGTCTAGCCAGGTAGTAGGTAAAAAAATGTTTTATCATCAAGGAATACTGCAGAAGAGAGGTGGAAAGTTTGGTATCATATGGTAAGTATTGTACCTAGTATTAGGTGACCTTTGTCATTCTTCAATTCCATTGAAATGGAATTGAAGAATGACAAAGTTAAAAAATAAATATATGTATTCTTTTAGTGCGAAACATTGTTGTGCCTTGAGTGGTGATATAACAACATTACATTGCTTGTTGATTAATGTGCAAATGTCATACCTGTTCTTATACTATTATTTTCTAACAGAATTAATTTAGTAATATTTTTTCCTTTTAGGCTTGCTGCTACTAGAATAGAGCATTTGAAAAGGAGAGAACTTTGTGAAGTTAACCTGCAAAAAACCTGGTTTGTATCAATCCTCACCAGATATTTCGTTGAATGAACATACTTGACTGTTTGGTGTTGCTGCTTCTTGTTTTCAATCTGCAGCATCAAAGTTACATGTAGCTTCCCATTTGAAATATGTCAATAATCAAGTGTTAGTGGTGGGACAGGAAAAAAATAATCAAAACAAAGGTAAATGAAAAATTCTCTGAGCTACAGCATTGCATAACTCTTTGTTTATAAATTAGTTTATTTCAAGGTAATAATTTACAACACAACGGCTAAGTAGCTAATTATAAGACTCTTTCATGCCAAGTTGGATTCCACCCGAGGGGTTTTCAAATATGGTGAACTCTGAGGCTTTGCCGAAGGTTTTGTCAAATTTGAAAATTCAAAGGGTTGAATTTCCCTATCCCACACCCTTGGGCATGAAAGAGTATTTTTCTCTCATTCCAACTACCAAAATAAGCTCAGGAACCATGAAAATGCGTTTGGACTGGCTATCATTATTCAAACATATTTTTTTTTTTACTTTAAACATTAGCTCATCAGTTTTTTGTTTTTTTACACTAGTCATGTGATATAAAGTGAATGCATGTATATAGTCAGCTTTAATTCAATTATAGTGATGACATCATTGACCACATACTAGTGCGGGTACAGGCAAAGACTCCAGGAAAGAAGAGAACTCGCTTCTCCCTATATCTGTCATCACAACTCCTGTATGGTGCCACTCGGGTACTGGCAAAGCAGAGTGATTTCCTCTTTAGTAGGTTTAACATACAGGAAACATCAAACTTGCCCAACGGTTTATACGCAAATACTGCAGATCTTACCAAATTCTGGAATTAACTACACTGTACTTCACAAATGTTTTGATTTTGAAAAATAACTAATACTTTCTGGTCAGAAATTGAAATCATTAACTCTTTGAAATTGAAAATATCATTCAAATTAAACTTTATGCATTTGATACATTTTTTATTTATTTTTTATATTTGACTGAAATCATTTTGTTTGTTTTGGATAGGTGATGCCTCCACTTTCTTTACTCGTGTTAGAATGGCTATTGCCGCTGATGCTGAAGCTGAGATAGATCTCAAAGGAATCTTTAGGTTTGTTCCCAAAGATTTGGAGGGGGGGNATACCGAACAAAATTCCATGCATTTGCTTCAAAAGAGATGAATAAAAATTATTTCAACTGTATAAACTAAGGTACTATTGTCTAAAGGTACCAGACCAGTCTTACTGGTTGGGTGCAGATGTTGTACTCGATATATCTAGCTTATTTTTCATTAGATGATTCGGGTGCGACATGTATTTTGCCTGCATTACAAAATGTAGCATTGATAACATGAAGTATATTGCTTTCAAATCCATGTTAACTTACTCTCTGGTTTCTTTGCAAATGGAAAATCTGGACATTTTAAAATCTTTCTAGATTTTCTTCCAAATAATTCCAGACCTGATTTTTTTTTGTCTACAAGACACTAAGCATATCAGGTCAAATCCATTTTATATACAGTTGTATATTATGAAGAAACAAGAACACAAAGTTTCTATGATCTGTTATATAAAAAGAACGGTAGAACATTGTAATTTCATAGTTGTTGGGATGATCTATTACAAAACTGAAATAAACAAGATATTTTGGGCCTTCAATCAAGTCTGTTTTGAAAGTTTTTGCTACTATATTGTCATGAATTGATCACCAAATGATGTTTAAATTATATATTAGTCTGTCTACATTTTTATTATAATTAACATCTACTGACAGCTCAATATGCTAGAAACATAAACTAAGTCAGTATTAGTGAATTTCCTTCCTTCGTGGATACCTGTTTTACAGATGTGAGACAGTGACCATTCCTGATATGGCGACCATTGACTCGCCTGGGCGGCCTGGCTTTGATCCAACCTTCGGTTTGATGAGGATGGGATCCTCTGAGGCTAAAATAACCTACCCAGAACTGGTATCTGTGTTATTTTATTGTTTGTCTGAAATTCAAACAATCTAAAACTAGTTATAAAGTGTCATAGGAATTAATAATTTGATAGTAATTTTGAAACATCCAATTGATTCACTACTACCAAACTGATGAATCCAAATATGTGAAGTTATGCTGTCTTAGACTTCCATGCCTGTACAATAAAGCAGTAGGACAATAATCACAGAAGCGTTAATGGTTAATTCCTTTTCCAAAACGCTTCAATGATCGGCTGCATTTTACCCACCCTTAGTAACACACCAAACAGCTGTTTGACCTTAATAATTGTCAAAACTTTCATTTCTTTAGTTTTCTATACACAATTTATTTTTTTCAAATCAGTAAATTTAGAAAATTTCAAAGCAAAAGGCTCTGGAGCAGGCTAAATTTCCAACCGCAAAGAAAATGAAAAATTAATTGGCAAGTATTAAAATGTTGTCATTTCTTCTGTGTTATATATTCTGATAAACATTCTTAGAATTAAATGAGCAAGTTATCATTTGCATGGTCAAAGATTACTTTTTTATATTTATCAATGCATAAGATTTATTAAATTTACTCAGGAAATGTGGAGAGTAAATTCCAGCATGGTCATCCCAGGGTCTCCCTACCTGAGCCCAATCCCAAAGCGGCGGGGGTCATCACCAGCATCCAAAGACAGCAGTCATGTAATACAGCCAGGTAATTGTATCTCCTCAAATAAAAGAGAGACACTGTATTATTACTGTTCTGGTTCTAGTCTTCTAATGACACCTTGCCAGGATTGTAACACTGTTAAATTAGGTCATAAATTCATTCACAAGAGAAGAAGGAACAGATCATTCTTGTAGGTTTTAGTAATACCAATTGGTAATAACTTTTTCAGGATGGTTCTGAAGAAGCTAAGAGTATGGGAAAAACTAGTCAAAGTCGGTCAACACTGCTAATAACTACAAGAACTATCTGCTTCTTTGCCTGCTATAATTAAATCTATGATCTAATGTAACCCATTTTTACTCCATTGGGTATCCAGACGAGAGAGACAAAGAACCAAACTTATACATCATTGAAACCATGATGAATCTCAAAGTATACCTGTATTGATCAGATTCATTGACATCAAGGCCTGTATTCATGAAAGTGTTTTTATACTCAAGTATGGATTCTGCACTCAAAGCAACTTTCTTGTAATTCGCTTAAATCGTGTCAAACGATCATAAAGTCAAATGTAAACATTGAAAACAGTGTTCGGCTTTAAGTCTCATAATTTTTAGCTCACCTGCCCATAGGGCAAATGAGCTTATGTCGTGGTGCAGCGTCCGTCGTCCGTCCTCGTCCGTCAACTTTTCCTTTAAACAACTTCTTCTGAAGAACGGACAGGCCTAGATTCATGATATTTGACTGAAAGCTTTGTTGGTAGGAGCCCTACAAAGTTTGAGAACGAAAATGACCTTGACCTACTTTAAAGGTCACAGGGGTCAAATATGTCAAAAACTTCAAACGACTTCCTCATAGGAACTAAAAGGTATAAAATCTTCATATTTGGCTGATGGCTTCCTGGGATGGAGCTTAACAAAGTTTGAGAATGAAAATGACCTTAACCTACTTTCAATGTCACAGGAGTTAAATGTGTCAAACACTTTAAACGACTTCTTCTGAAGAACGGAAAGGTATAGAATCTTTATATTTGATTGATGGCTTCCTGGGATGGAGCCTGACAAAGTTTGATAATGAAAATTACCTTGACCTACTTTCAATGTCACAGGAGTTAAATGTGTCAAACACTTTAAACGACTTCTTCTGAAGAATGGAAAGGTATAGAATCTTTATATTTGATTGATGGCTTCCTGGGATAGAGCCTGACAAAGTTTGAGGATGAAAATGACCTTGACCTACTTTTAAGGTCACATGAGACAGATATGTCAAACATTTCAAATGACATCTTCTGAAGAACTGGAAGTTATAGAACCTTAATATTTGGCTGGTTACTTCCTGGGATAGAGCCCGACAAAGTTTGAGGATGAAAATGACCTTGACCTTCTTTCAAAGTTCACAGAGGTCAAATGTGTCAGACAGTTCAAACGACTTCTTCTGAACAACTGAAAGGTATAGAATCTTTATATTTGGCTTGTAGCTTCCTAGGAAAGAGCCCAACAAAGTTTGAGAATGTTCTTAAGAACTAAAAGGAATGGATTCATAAGATTTGGCTGGTAGCTTTTGGAATAGAGCTAACCATTGTGAGAAGGAAAATGACATTGACCTACTTACAAGGTCACAGGGAAAATTATGTCAAGCAACTTCTGAAGAATCAAAAAGCATAGAATCTTATAATAATATTTTGCTGGTAATTTCAACAGATGAAGCCAACAAAGTTTGCGAGGGAAATATTTTTGGTCCTATATAATATTTAATGAGAATATTTTGCTATGACTGCTTAAATATTCAGGTGAGCGATACAGGCCCTCTTGGGCCTCTTGTTTTCCAAATCATTGACAGAGTAACATTGGTTTATTAATTTATGTAGAGAGAAAAAAATTAGACTTGAGCATAAAAAACATTCCTCAGTATGAGAACGGTTTCATGAATATGGGCCCAGGTGTGCACTTGTTTTTACTTTTATAACACTTATTAGCTAAGTCATCTTAACCGACTATCTCTAGGTAATTAGTACAAAATTTTCAGTGAAATATTGTCAGAGATGTAACTAAACTGTTCAAGACATCTTGATGAAACTCAAAAGTAAATCTTCATCACTCACTATTGCCTAACAACGTTCACAATAACAAATCTGTTGTCAAAAGATCTAAGTCATGATTGATAGGGCATGCTGGATGTCATTTAAGGGAGTTCATTAAAATTAAGAGTATGAGGTATGAGGTCTCGCATTAAGGATTTAAAAACGTGAAAAAATAATTCCATTCTGATAGCCTAAAAATGTAGAGAAAAATAACTCCATTCTGATAGCTTGATTGATTGCTATTAAACTTCCAATAAAAGTATGTGTTAATCATCATTGTAGATTAAGACCCTGCCAATAAAGAGTATGAAGTCAAGGTCCCTATTACTACGTGAAAATAGAAAAAAAACAACAGTTGCCATCTAAATCTACCTTGTCTGCTATTTATTTCATTCTAAAGGGCCTTTGCTGATCAGTCAGTGTTCTGGTAACTTATTACATACATCATTCAAACTGACTGAGTTAGCTATATAAATATGACCTCAGCTGCAGGAAAGACACTAGAGTACATTACACATTGTTTTATGTATAGAAGTCCAGAATTGTTTTGTAATTTTTTCATAGAACTTGGAAGTCCACACACAGTTTCCAGCAAGGATGAAATCACCATTAGAGAAGAGGAAATACAAATTCCAGATATAGAGGTGAAAACAGCATGTTTATTTGAATTCTTTCTGATAATGCTTCTAACATAAATCAGTTATTGGGTCAGTGTAAATTGTGTGAAACACATTTTGTTGATTTCTGTTTGATGCGTTAAAAAAAGAAATATCAATGTATACATATTATAAAGATAGAAAGGGTAGTAACTGTAGTCTTTGAAAATAAAAATATCCACCTGTCGAGTCTGGGTGGTATAATGCTTCACTGCATTACAATGGTAAGGTTGAGAATTTTCTGGTTAGGTAAACTGAAGTATTATGGCTGCATTTAACTAATGTGGTTGCCATGGCTGTATTCATGTATATCAACATTTATTGATAGGTGCCTGGCGAGAAGGACCTTCCCACTTTTGATGGGAAGGAATTGGACATGATTCTTGAGGAACCTCTGGACCCCAACATCAACTGGATGAATATTCTTTCCCCTGTCGTGCCAGAACCTCCAAAGGAGACAACCCTTGATCAGATGGCACAGGAGCAGTATGTGTACCCTTTCTATGCACACATTTTTTACAAATTTGCAACATCAAGTTTTCTTAAAAGAAATTCTTAACCCAACTTGTCAAAGGGACCAAGTGTATGCCCTACTGTAGCAACTGTTGTACGTCCATATCTGTCCATCAACAATGTGATTGGCTATATTGCTTTAGTCAGAGGTTTTTTCGCTGGAACTAACAGATGGACATCAAAGATATTGGTTGAAAGTATTCTTAAGTGTCGGGGATTCAAAATTATACAAATGGAGGGTCTGACCGTCCATCCACGACTGATAAGCAGGGGGGAAAAAAAAAAGAGTTTGGAAATTGGAGATCTCAACCCTATAACCATATATATGCAATTGCTGTGCATGAGGAGAGAAATACATGTATGCAACCAGGATTGACCTCTTGGTCAGCCCTGCCCTTGTGGATTTAGTCCCTTGGAAATAATATGGAAAAGGTTGTGATCATAGGATGCTATGACCAAAAAGACATTGCTAAGTACATGTACATGTATATCAAGAGAGAAGTATATGTATGCTACTTAGTCCCAGAGTCTTGACTTTCAAACAACTATCCTGTAACAATATATATGATTAATGAGCATAGAAGATTTTGATATGTGATATGCTACCAGAATTGTTCCCCTGAGTATTTTGCTATGATTACTTAAATAAATATCAAGGTGAAGATACAGGACCCCTGGGCCTTTAGTTTGATGCAAATAGTATAATGACATGATTTCACTTAATTGTTAAATTAAGTTATCCTGGAACTTTCAGCCAATTACTGGTTGTTTTATATATATTCAGGGGAACTTTATCTCCTAAGGAGCAAACACCGTTTTCAAGGCCAGATGGAGAATTACCGCAGAGAAGGGACATGGCTCTTTCCCCTGGTGTGACACCTATCCCTAAGATGACACCAGTTCAGGCCCAAAGAATGGCAAGTATTAAACCCTTTTTTTATGCTCTTCTTTTTGGAGAAAATAAAGGACATTGATTTAGGTATTTCCTCCTTCCATCCTCTGTCTCTAAGAGGTAACATACCATAAGTTTCAATCAAATTAAACATGCACCTGAACACATAATGCCATTATGAAAAGCTCCATTGCCCAGCTTGATCGCCAGTGGGATGTGTACATAATTGTGCATATTTGATAAGGCTCTATAATAATAATAATAAATAAAGGCTCTTCTTTTCTTTAAATTATGTCAGTAACAGATTGTAGCAAAAGATGTATAACTTAAATTTAATCAGAGTTGTGCCAATCTTCATATTAAACATAGTAATATCAAGATAAAATTATAAGGGAGATATTAACTCAAGTATATTTATACTTGTGTATGTATCAGTGTGAAATTGTTACTTGAAGTTTCTTGACCAAGAAAACTCTTAAAACGTTTTGTATAATATCAAGGATCCTATATAATTGTATTCCAGAGGCCTAGTCTGACAATGCAACTGACCCCAGTAGCTCCGAGTCCTGTTCGTAGACGCCGCCGCCGCCACCTTTGTATTGACCGGAATACACAAATATCTAAAGAACAGTTAAGGAATAACATGAAGACGGGTGCTGACACCTGTCTCCCACTTGTAAGTCTGAATTTAGTTCATGATTATGAGCCAGGCTTTCCAATTTGGGCTATCTATAACTGCCATAAAAGGGGAATAATATATATTATTTATAGCCCTAGTTTGAGGAATATTTGTTCAACCTCAGCATGCCATATAATATGACTTGCTTAGGGTGAACACATTTTTATGTTATCCCGAATCAAGGGCATCAAATCATTCATTGCATCGAAGTAGAACAATTAACAGTTAATTTCAATAACAACAAAACATGGTAAAGAAGCAACATTCACTGAACAGTCATGATTGCAATGATCCTTACATCAGGTAATTATTCTTCTTGTGTGGAAAAACTAGAAATGTTCATTAACAGCTTTTATATTTTTAGGTTACCTGACCATAGGTCATGGTAATCTATTGTGTAGCCTTTTGTCCGGCGTCGTGCGTTAACTTTTCCTTGTGAACACGATCGATAACTTCAGTTAATATTAACCGAGTTTGATGAAACTTTGTATGCAGCCATATATCAATAAGATCTCGGACGAGTTTGAAAATGGGAATTATTGGACAGTAACTTATAGAGTTATTGCCCTTTGTTTGTGAACACAATAACTTGAGTAAATGTTAACCGAGTTTGATGAAACTTTGTATGCAGCCATATATCAAAAAGATCTCGGGACGAGTTCAAAAATGGAAATTATTCTACAGTAACTTAAAGATTTTTTGCCCTTTGTTATAATATTATTATTGGACCTTGTGAACATGAGAACTTGAGTAAATGTTAACTGAGTTTGATGAAACTTTGTATGCAGCCATATATCAAAAAGATCCCAGATGAATTCGAAAATGGGAATTATACGACAGTAACTTAAAGATTTTTTGCCCTTTGTTATAATATTATTATTGGACCTTGTGAACATGAGAACTTGAGTAAATGTTAACTGAGTTTGATGAAACTTTGTATGCAGCCATATATCAAAAAGATCCCAGACGAATTCGAAAATGGGAATTATACGACAGTAACTTACAGAGTTATTGCCCTTTGTAATAATATTATTATTGGACCTTTTGAACACGATAACGTGAATGTTAACAAAGTTTAATGAAACTTTGTACGTAGCCAAATATCAATAAGATCACGGACTCTAAAGGGGAATTATACGACAGTAACTTACAGAGTTATTGCCCTTTGTAATAATATTATTATTGGACCTTGTGAACACGATAACGTGAATGTTAACAGAGTTTAATGAAACTTTGTATGCAGCCAAATATCAATAAGATCACGGACTCTAAATGGGAATTATACGACAGTAACTTACAGAGTTATTGCCCTTTGAAATAATATTATTATTATTGGACCTTGTGAACATAACTTAAATAATTATCAACCAAGTTTGATGAAATTTTGTATGCAGCCTTATATCAATAAGATCTCGGATGAGTTGGAAAATGGGAATTATTCAACCATAACTTACAGAGTAATTGCCCTTTGTAATAATATTATTACACTATTTTGTATTGAACCTTGTGAACATGATAACTTAAATAATTATCAACCAAGTTTGATGAAACTTTGTATGCAGCCTTATATCAATAAGATCTCGGATGAGTTGGAAAATGGGAATTATTCGACCATAACTTACAGAGTAATTGCCCTTTGTAATAATATTATTACACTATTTTGTATTGAACCTTGTGTTCAGGATAACTTGAGTAAATATCAACCAAGTTTGATGAAACTCTGTATGTAGCCTTATATCAATGAGATCTCGGATGAGTTTGAAACTGGGAATTATTTGAAAGTAACTTACAGAGTTATTGCCCTTTGTAATAATATTATTATTGGACCTTGTAAACCAATAACTTGAATAAATGTTGACGGAGTTCAATGAAACTTTGTCCAGTAACTATTTGGCGGTAACCTGCAGAGTTATTGCCCTTTGTCATTATATTATTATTTGTCCCTGTGATGTTGATTGACATTACACAAGAATAGATGTAAATTCATGTGGTACACCTTTTTTTTTCATTCATGACGCTTTTTTGCTAAAAACAAGGTGCTATTAAAATTTTGTGCCTTATTTAATAAATCATGGATTTACGCTTCTACTTGTTTCTTTTAGCCAAGAACAGAAGACATACATGCAGTTACCAAGTTTGTTCAAAACAGACCCCTTGGGTCAAAATTGGAGTCGCACCCATTTATTTCAGTTATCTTGTTCACAGGGTCCAACAATAATAGAATAAACAAGGGGAATAACTATGTAAGTTATGGTCAAATTGGTACGGTATTCAAACTCATCCAAGATCTCATTGAAACAAAGCTGCATACAAAGTTTCATCAAAATCGGTTCATATTTACTGAAGTTATTGTGTTCACAAGGAAAAATTAATGGACGATGCAGCAAGGCGAAAAGGATGAATTTGCCCTTGGATGACAGTCCTAATTTGAATGGGGTACTCAGCTTATTATATCACTCGCATAATACACCTGAGTTATGGCCTGGTTTTCATTCGGATACGAAGAGTAAGGCATTCCTCATTCAAACTTCCCCAAAAATATTCATATATAAATCATACTTTGGAATTATGAACATAATTCATTTAATAGTAAGTCACATAGCTACCCTGCCTACATCTGGTTCAAAGCCCAATGTGCTAATCAGTCTTGAGTCGAAGGGGTAGCGACAATTTAATAATCGTCACATAGCTACCCTGCCTACATCTGGTTCAAAGCCCAATGCGCTGACCAGTCTGAGTCGAAGGGGTAGCGACAAATAAATACTCTCATATATAAGGTGCTATTCCTCCTCGGGCTTAGGTTTGCAAGGCAATACGAACATGTAGTAATCTGTTGCAACAAAGTTTGCGCAGCTACAGTTTATATCTTTGCACCTATATGCAGTACTATCTGTCGCAGGATAACCTGCACAAATACAATAGCATATACCAAGGCGATCAATAAAGTTTTGTGGTAATCTGTCGCTGCTAAAGTCTGCACATGCGCGCAGCCACAAATAATCTGCAAACAATTTGTAGTAATCGATGAGACTTTGTCTGCACCGCTACAAATTCACTGCCTAAACTAAGAGGAAGAATAGTTCTACAAAAAATGCAAGTGTTAAGTTGAGTCTACCCCACATGCCAAATCTTTATTTTATTATGATGTATTTTGATATTTATATGTTGTATGTTGTATGATATGTTGTAATGATCAGTGAAGAAGATGTAGATAATTAAATGTTGTACATAACTATAAACTGCACGAACTTTAAATTATTGCGAATAATTCCAGGGCAGTTGTTATCTCTATTTCTGAAACTTGGTTGGACAGTTCAATTACCGATTCGGAAATACATCTATATGGTTATAACATAGTTAGAAAAGACAGAAACAGATTAGGCAGAGGAGTATGTTCTTATATTAGAGACGATCTAGCCTTTACTCCAGTTGTCGATGTTTACCAAGAAGACGACGAGGTGGTTTTGGTGGAACTACATCTCCCAAAAACCAGACCGATACTTGTGGGATCGTGCTATAGACCGCCCAAACAATCCAACTTTACAGAGAACTTTGAACTAATGCTTTCAAAAATCAGATCTGACAGTGAAGTCATACTACTTGGGGACTTTAACATATGTAGCCTCAACAAAAATAATCCTTTATTAAAAACCTTTATGGGTGTGCTGAAACTTTTCAATATGAAACAGCTTATAAAGGAAGCCACTAGAATTATATATATATATATAATTACGAACACTACCAAATCATTGATTGATAATATTTTGTGCAATAATAAAGAAAAGATTTGTCAATCTGGCGTATTATCGATAGGTCTCAGCGACCATTTTTTAATATTCTGTACCAGAAAATCCTCTAAATGTGTTTTTAATAAGCATAACAACATTCATATTCGTTCAACCAAAAACTATAAAAAAGAATCTTTTGAGAAACTTCTTTTGGAGGTTCCATGGGGAAAAATGTATGTTTGCTGATAATTTAAATGAATGCTGGAAATCATTCCATGATATTTTTATAAAAGCATTGGATAATACTGCTCCTTTGAAGGAAATTAGACTTAAACAAAAGACAGAACCGTGGATGACAGCAGAAATTCTGGAAGAGATAAGAACTAGGGATACATTTATGCACACATTTAGAAAATTTGGCCAAACATCAGACTATAAGCATTACCGCAAACATAGAAATCATGTGCAGAGAATGGTTAGAAAAGCAAAAAATCAATATTTTGACCACAAGATTGAGGAAAACAAAAATGATTCAAAAAACTTATGGAAACATTTCAAAAATTTGGGATATGAAACTAAAAGAAAAACGAATATGAATGTAGTTTTGAACATTGAAGGTGAAAATTGTCATGAAAACTTAACCATTGCCAATCATTTTAACAATTTTTTTACAACCATTGCTTCCAAACTTGTTGAAGGCCTTCCTCCATGTAAAGGCTTATTCAAAACCTCACAAACTTTAATAAAATCTTTCTACATTAGGAGAAATCCAAAACAAAACAAATTTCACCTCAAACATGTTTCTGAAAATTTTGTATTTAAGGAACTTTGTAATCTCAATATCACTAAAAGTACTGGTCTAGATTGTATTCCAGCTCGTTTTCTGAAAGATGCTGCATCAGTAATCAAGGTGCCTGTAAGATTTTTAATAAATAAGTCCATATCTGAAAATGTTGTACCAGATGATCTCAAGATTGCAAAGGTAAAACCACTATTCAAGAAAAAAGATAAATTGAAGGCTGAAAATTACAGACCTGTTAGTATTTTGAGTATTGTTTCAAAAATCCTAGAAAAAGCAATTTATAAACAACTGGAACAATTTTTGATTGATAACAACATTTTGTATGAGTTCCAATCTGGTTTTAGAAAATCCTATTCCACTGACTCCTGTTTAATTCACCTGGTTGATCACATAAAGTCCCAGACGTCTAAAGGTCTCTTCACTGGAATGGTTTTACTAGACCTACAGAAGGCCTTTGATACAGTTGACCATGGGATTTTGTGTGATAAACTTGGTGTAATTGGCATTGAGTCGGTGGAGTGGTTCACATCATACCTTACCAACAGAAAACAATTAGTCAATATCAATAATGTGAACTCGGATATTTGTAATATAACATGCGGGGTACCCCAAGGGAGTTTATTGGGACCGCTTCTTTTTCTCATTTATGTAAATGACATGCGGATCAGTATTGACCCAGGATGCAAATTATTTCTGTACGCAGATGACAGTGCAATTATCTTCTCGCACAAAGACCCAAAAATTATTTCAAAATTTCTATCGAAAAACTTAGAGTCATGTCACGATTGGCTAACAGATAACAAATTATCCTTACATCTTGGAAAAACAGAGAGTATTTTGTTTGGCCCCAAAAGGAAACTTTCCAAATTACCTGAAGGCTCATTTTCTGTTTCGTGTTACGGTAATATAATTATGCCTCAGGTGTGTGTCAAATATCTTGGTATTATATTGGACAACAAATTGTCCAAAATATTTTAAAAAAAAGTGAACCAGAAATTGTGGTTTCTATATAGACACCGTGACTGTCTCAATTTTAGATCTAGAAAAACCCTGGTGTCGGCACTGATCCAATGTCATTTTGACTATGCTTCTAGCTGCTGGTTCGAAAACATATCCAAAAAACTTCGACAAAAAGTTCAAATTACACAGAATAAAGTGGTCAGATTTATTCTGAAACTTGATAATAGATCAAGAGTCACCCATCGGGAATTGGAACAAGTTAATATGTTGGATGTTGGGGGCAGGGTGAAACAGCTCCGTTTTAACCATGTCTTTAATATTCAACATAACAAATGTCCATCCTATATGAAAGAAAATTTTACTAGAACAGAGAAAAAACACTTTACCAGGAACAGTGATCTGAATTTCAACATTCCTTATATAAAAGGTGTGGAATCATCATCTTTTTTCTATAATGCTATCAAAGATTGGAATAACTTACCACATTCAATAAAATCTGTCGATCACAAGATGAAATTCAAAAGCGAGATAAAAAAGTACTTACAAGTTTTGGCAAAAAATGATTTTGAGCAAGAATTTGTCTTCTAAAGGTAATTTTTATTCTATCCCAGTGGGTGACTCTAAACTTCTTCTAAAAATATATGATGTATTACCAAAATTTTAACTAAAGTACCAATATAATATGTACTTTTTATAAATGTTATGGAAGATTTTATTACCATCATCCTCAGTCTTTATTTTATTAAAAGTCATTTTTATATATGTATTATACCCCAAATTGCTATAATTTGTTAGACAGATAATAGGTTGGTAGGGATTGCCCAACCACCTGTTGTCTGTTCTACACACAAGTACCACAGTATAAATGTATATGGCCTAACACCATCTTATATTGTTACTTAATATCTGCAAGAATGACATCATCTTGCATTATGATATGTACAGTGATACATATAACTGATATTTTAATATTACAAGTGGAAACAACATCATGCATAGCCCCACATATATATATTATCAGAAGGAAATCATATTTGCTAATGACAACTCCATCTTATACCGTCAAATAAAATAACATCTTATTTTGATGAAATAATATATCATCATCATATTTGACCAATTACAACTTATTCTATTCATATATATATTATTACGAGAAATTATACCATCTTATATTCATATTATAAGGTCAAATCCTTAGGACCTTTTGTTATCTAAGTAATTAAGATCTATACTAGAGGACCCCATTGGAAATAAGCTGCCACCCAGCTTTCATGGGATATCCTAGGTTAAAGCTTAGTCAAACAGATACATTGTATTTTTATAGTGCTCCAAAATTTGTGATATTAACTTTGATGTGATAATCTAAATACTGTGATAAATCTGTGATTATTATGCAATTGAAATCTGTGATCATATGTGATATTTGTACCTGTATCTTGCTTTTACCGAATAAATATTATTATTATACATGTCTATTGTTTGTTCAATTTAAAGCTAAGTTTAAAACTTTGTTATTTTCAGGTTTTGCCTGACCCACAAAATTCTACAGTGAAAGATTTGTTCAGTAGACCTGGCAAAAAAGGTACAGTTAACTGTTTGAAGCAATGTTAAAAATGTTAAAGCTTCATTTTATTATGTACAACAAGTATAAATCCATTGGCTTGGTTCCAGGGACACGCACTTTCAGCCCTTAGAAGCAGGTGCAATATTTGGACAAACTTGCCTTGGAAATTTCAAGTAGCATTACAGATATTGTCCAGCATGTAGATTTCTGAGGCTTATACTTCCCCAAATGAGGTGTTTTAAGAATTAATTTTTGCACCCCTAAAACTGAACAGTGCAACAGTTATGAGTTGAATTTATCTATATCTAAATGTCTTTTAGATTTTTAAATCCCTACTCCAGATGGTAATATTCACTTGATTCATAAAGTTACTATCCTCTAACAGGCAGTAGTTGTGGTCTTAAAATGAATTGTACGATACAAAACAGACTTCTTAGGACTCGCTGACATACATACATAACTATCTGTCTACTTTTAGTCACGACATTGCATTAGTGATAAAGTAATGTCTTGTTTTGTTAGCTCTGAATCACCCTTCGATTTTGCCTTTGTGGGAAAGCAACACAAAGTATGGTATATCAGAGACAGACTCTGACCGCGGTATTCCAGTATGGAGCGTCCCTGATCTACATTTACAGGAGGAAGGTAGGTTATTAAAACTCGTACGAAGATAATACATTAAAGCTTATAATTAAGCACATGTATATATTGAAGACATACTCCTCCCAAGGGATTCTAGTGGAGCATCCATTTGAATTAGTTTTATCAATTTATATTGATTATCGGTAGGTAAATTGGGGGTATACATGTACACACCATACAGGTTAATGTTTGAGACTGTTCAAATTGTAACACTGAGACAACCAAGTGAACTATACAGTTACATTTATTAGTTTCTGCTCAATAAAAAGAGAAAGAAACAGGTCAAAAAATGCATGAGGCCTGGGGAACTTCCAGTTTATTTTTGTTGACTTGAATTGAAATGAAAATGACGTTTTTTTTGTCCAGCAGAACCACGTTCAAGAAAGAGATTACGGATTTCAACTCCACCGATAGAAAAACTTGCATCACCTCCTCAGAAAGTTAGACAAGATGTCACTATGGTATTTATTTAAATCTAGAAATGAAAAAAAATGTCAATGCAAAAACTTTGTTCCTGCAGGAAATTGTAATTTTATTTCTAAAAATTTATCTTTTAATGTGATTAATCTTGATCCAATTTTTGATTTGTTAGAAATAAGGCATACAAACACAATTCTCAAATATTAAACAGGTAAAAAATGTAAACTTAAATAATTTGTAGCATAAATAGCAAACGTGATGTTTGACATCAATTTTCATGCTAAATCCAATACTGTTGTCAAACTGAACTAAATCTAACTTTCTAAGGTCTATTTTTTGGCAAATTATTTAACTGAAACCCTATGACAAGTTGAACAGTGACGTATATGAAAACCAAAGAGAGTTTGAGCAAAAGTTTTCCTCTAAATATCTTGCATCAGGAAACATCATTGCTACCAGAGGTGGCACAAGACATGCCGTCGATAGAGATACCACGTGACACCTCCATATCCATGGAGAGGAGTCGTCATGGAGACGTGACCCCTGTCTCCCTACACCACAGTCGCAGCTTACTATCAGACGTGGACAAGAGTAAGGACAGCTTTACCGACGAACCCAGTGCTAAGAGGAGCAGGTAAACTCTCCCTCACAAGGGTTATTTTCAGAAATACATTGTAAATATGGTAAATTTACATGCATAGAAATTGTGAGAAAACTATGTATAGAAAACTATTGCAAAATATATGATGAAACTCATGCTGCTAAAATGAATGTTCTCGATTGGGAACTGCAACTTAAATTTGCCTTATTGAACTCATGATTATGTCTTGATCCTTTCAAATGTAAGACTGGTTCTTCATCCTCCAATACAAAATAGTCCGTGCTATTACTTTTAAACTGTAAACTTAAAGTAAACCTGCATCACCCACAGAAAGTGTGCAGTATACTGAATCAGGTCACTGTGACCTTCACCTCAAGTAAGTTAAAGTATTAAAGGGCATTTATGGAGAAAACTTTAAATTGTGAAAGATATTAAATGAAATGTCTGGGTTGCAAATTTTAAGACATATTGAAGATATCTTTTATAAAAACTTGAACAATATCTGCATGACCTACAGGAGGTGTGCAGAAAACTATAAATAAGTCAGTAGAAAATTTCCCTCTATGTCTAAGTTTAAATATTTGCAAAGTTAATGTTTGGCTGATAAGGGAAGACTGTTTCTGTTCACAAAATCAAATTTCCATATGAATCGGTACTAATCCTAGCAGTGCTGGAAGAAGGTACACCTGCATGATGCCAAGTTTAAAATATTGCACTCAAATTGGTTGAACTCAGATTTTGTTTTCATAACATAAAAAACAGTTGTTTTGGTCAGTAGAATATGTCTTGATCAAAAGATTCTGACAGCATATCAAAGTTAATTAAGACTAATTAATACCAGGTACTTTTGTCAATATTTTACCTCATTTGTACCAACATAACACTCTACACAAAACTGTAGTTCTAGATGTTTCAGGAACTATTTTACATGAAAAAGTACATGTAGTCTAGCTTAATACAATCTGCCTTCACATGAATATTACAAATAGTAGTCTACATTTTACTGCCTGATTTTTGTTTGCAGATCATCAAGGAAGACAAGGTCAAGAGGTGGCACCTCCAGTGAGGATGATCTAGCTGACATAACGGCTCGAGCACCATCAGACGTGAGTTTCCCAACCAGAGAGGATGTAAGTGTTGCTGGTAATCTATCTATAGTGCAGGAGGAGGAGATGCATGTCAGTCGCCTCCAGGATATACCAGCAATGGTAGCAGAACCACAGCTCTCACATCATCGTGACATCCTCATCAGGTCAGTATCTGCCATATGTAGGTTGACAGAAACGAGTCCAGAGCTAAGTTGTTCAAAAGGTGATCAGTGATTAGCGCAAACTTTAATGTTTGTGTCACTTTAAAATATAACCATTGAATTAGTTTAAACTTTCCAGATATCAAAAATTTAGTAGAGAAAATTTACATGTAAAATTGGGAGATTTTACTTTACATATTGACAAAATTATTTAAGGTTGAAAAATGTTGTTAAACAGTGATTAAGCTAACTGCCTTTTAAACAACTGGGCCCAGATCTGTAAAAGCATGTACATTGTATATACGGTATCTGCAATTATGTAATATGCAATAATTTATGCTTTTAAGAATGTGTATTCCTTTCAAATGCATTTCAATAATTTACAAAGATGACTAGAAATGACTTTGTATTGCTAAATCACCAACAGAACCATTGACCGGCTGGATAGAGAAGATACACCAACTACCTTTCAGCACATCTGTCCACCGCTGTCTTCATCAAGGAAAATGGCTGCTAAAATGTTCTCCACTTTACTGGGTAAGCCATTGAGAATGTGAATTTACTTAGGATTGTTGTGCACGAGCAGTGATGTGTTCAAGATTGTATTGAGTACATGATCAAAATTTAACATTTATTCCTTTGGTTTCTTGTTCCCCTGTTTTACCAAAAACAGAAGTAAGAATTATTACTGATGTAATTCTAAAGTAAAAAGTTGCACAGTCCTCTGTTACATCAATTGTTTCTGACTTCTTTTCCAGAACAAACGTTGTATTATTAATAAACCTGATAAGTACATTGATATAGAATTAATTTAACAACAATCATCTTACAGTTTCTAATCATGATTATTTAAATAAGATATTTAATTTCTTGATAGTATTTCAGCCACATTTGAAATCCTTTTACAGAGTTGTGTGCTGGCAACAAATTGGAAGTTGAACAATATCATTCATATGACGATATCTACATAACAAAGGGTCAGAACTGGTAGTGATTGCAGACCGCGGAGCAAGTGCCTTATCAATGTTATTGTTTTCAATATTATACATGTACATGAACAGTTACACTTTTGTTTAAATAAAATCATGAAACCTGTTGTATCACCAATGAACACAAATACATCATTGTATATGATTGAGAAGCAATATGATATTTATAGGAGTGGATATAGGGTGACAGAACTAGTGCTATAATTCTGTCTGCACCTTAAATTAAATGACCGATGAAGATTTTGTTTCACATGCTCTCTTGTTAAATACCTCATTGATGTACGGGCTTTTGGGATCATGAAAAAAAAGTTGACTTCAATCCAGATTTAAACGATGCCTCCGTTCCGTATCAAAATAAGATTTTACATTTGAACACATCTACATATTTGTCATTATTGACTTTTACACCATAATTTGAAATGGATTCTGAGAGATAACATTTTTTTTTTACTGTCATTTGAAATTTGAACATCAGTTTACAAAGTTGGACTTCTTGGCCAGCTCTTATAATGGCAATAATAGTTTTTGCCACCCCTACCGCTTATAATAATAAACACATACAGAAATAAATGGATGGTAATTTTATGTTGAAATATCTTTAATATCACTAAGTGTTTTGTTAAACGATGTTTATAATTTATTCATGAAGAAAGGAATAGATTGATGAGACTTTTATTGTAAATCACTTGATTTTTGCATATATTTGTGTTCCAAATGACTTGTTGACAGAGTTTTGAATTAAAAGATGTGTTAATGATTTTGTTTCAAAGTGCATCAGTCGAAATATGTGAGATTTTGTGATTGGTTCTCCAGACCAATTTATGCTGAAACATTTATCTCACAAAACATGGGTGATTTTTTTTATTACTGAAAGAACTTTTTTATTGTGATGGGTTTTTTTCATGCCACATTGCAGTACATTTTCACTAGTTTATTAAAAAAAAGCTGTTACACATTATTTTTGCCTGAAAAAATAATGGAAAATGTGAAGGACCTCCTGTTTGTTTTATACAAAGTTATTCGTTCATAAATACTAAATAAAAAGTGGTTCCATACTTAATTTATTCCCCCATGAAAATGTATATTGGGTAGTAAAGTGTCAGTGAAATGGGTCATTAACTGTTTTATTCAGAATTGTTTTTCTACATTATTTATTTATTTCAGGAAACTTGTTACAGAATTAATTCTTGATAAAAGTTATAATTAAGGGACTGTTACATGATTTTGTTTTCTTCATTAAATTAAGTGCTATAGATTTGTTAAATTTATGTTTGAAATGTATTAAACTAATGTTATGTTTGAACTTGTTTACCTTTTAAAGTAATTATTGTTATAAATAGATCCACTTTTACTTTTCTGGTTTTGTTGTCAAGAATAGTATTTATTTGTTTTACATATATCTATAGTTACATCTTTAATCAATGTTTTGTTTTTGTGATTTTGTTTTCACAAATGGTATATTTGTTTTACATATATGTAGCTATTAATACATTTCATCCATGTTTCGGTTTTTTTCTGTTTTTCTTTTCAGGAATATCATTTCTATTGCTTTACATATATCATTTGATATAATTTATTCCAGTTCAATTTTCTGTTAAAAGAATTGTTGGTTGGATGTTTTCTGTTGGGATCAATTGATATATCTGAAATGTTGTACTGTATATTGCAGCACAAAAACAACTTTCAAGGCAGCAATGAAATGTTTTATAGATGAATCAGGTAATTTTTTCATAAATCGTTAAAACAGATTGCATATTTGAAAATTTATCTCAAATTTTATATTTCTAATAAACATTGATCTTGCAATCTTAGGTAAAAAAAATATAAATTTACAACTAGAAAATCATATCAATTTAATTATAAAATAAAGAAAATTTCTAAAAAAATAATTTAAGCATTCCAGAAATCCAATAAAACCTGCAAAGTTATTCTTTAGAGCAGACAGTACTGTGGTAGATGAGAATGGTTAACACACTTTTTTAGGCGGCATATGTTTAAGTTTTTTAACTTTCCTTTTCTAGATAATTGATGTTAATAACACGGCATGTGCACGTCTACATTCAAATCATGTTAGTATTAAAGTAGTTTAATTATAATTATAATAATTATGAATCAAATTTAGTGAAATGTCAATTGGAAGAGAATCATTCAATATGTGAAAGGAAACGGATGTCTTTTTTTTAAATTTGAATGCAAATACTGTGGGATATATTTATGGCAGTGATTTTTAATTATGTGATGTATGAATGGAAATTCAATAGAAATACCTTTAATTTCCAGGAAAGTTTGAGCCCTGAATGGAAATTTAATAGAAATACCTTTTAATTTTCAGGAAAGTTTGAGCCCTGAATGGAAATTTAATAGAAATACCTTTAATTTCCAGGAAAGTTTGAGCCCTGAATGGAAATTGCATGTTACGTGCATGTTAATTACATGAATACTAATTACTGTAAAGAATCTTAGTGTGGTTGCCATGGTTATAACTAGCTAAAATGTTGAATGAAAATAGTGCACTAATATAAATGTGTTTTGCACATTGGAGATTATCATGTTGTTTTAGTTACATTTTTATAAATAATATTAATTTTTATGGGCTCCAGGAGGGGTCAAATTAATTGATTAAAATTGTTGATAAAGTTAGTGATCTATTTGTGTTGTGTCTTTAGTCCTCTTTGTGTTACATCAACAACAGTTTCAGATGTTGACCAGGTCATTCTTCTGCAGAAAACAAATGTTGATTGGATCAAGAAGCTTTGGCCCTAAATGACTTTCTCTATAACTGTTGATTTGGTATGAATAACAAAACAATCAAATCAAGTGGCTCTTCAGGTTTATCGCTGTTCAGTTTCTTTTTTCCAACAACAACAGCTCAGCTTAACAAACTCTCAAAATGTCTTGTGCACCTGCTAAGCAGTCATCTATATCAGGATATGCATATTGTCAGGTAGAATATTTATAGAAATACTAGCTCAGTAGGGCAACTAACCGAGATGAGGGGGCTCATAGACCCTCGCACATCTATGACCAAGTATTAAACAAAGCGTAGCTGAATAGAATCATTTCGGTACATATATAACAACTATTGTACATGCGCTTACAACATAGCTGAAGCGATATAGATCTTGTCGACAACTCGTACACAGTTTACACCTTTGTGTGCATATGCTTCACTGGTCATTTGTCTGATGAAAGTGACAGTGTTGCTAGATCTTAGTTAGCTACAGGCCAAATATCATTACCCCTTTGCTTTATGGTTCTGAAGTAGAAACCAATTAAATATCAAAACTGTAATGTTTCAAAAATTTAGATAGCCCTCCACCTAAGCTAGCTGCAGGCTAAATTATCATCCAAATCCATACGGTTTTAGAAACATTTTCTCTTTAAGATATTGGACTTTCTGAAGGTCATGTATTAAAACAGGTTGTATAGCTTTCCATCCCAGCGAACTGAAAGCAAAATATCATGACCCTAAGTTTGATTTAAGATTCTTGAGAAGAAGTGAAAAATGTCAATTGTTAAAAAGGACCGACAGCAATGTCTTGACACTATGCTTTGTTCAAGAAACAATGTCATTGATTAGGGAACTATGTTGTGTTTTTTCATGTCTGGAATTTTTCAGATTTTCTCGATTAAATGTCGCCGGAAGCATGTTCTAGCATTTAGATTATTGAACTCAAATTTAATATTGAATCAGACTCCAAAAATTCAAGCTCCAGAGTATCACTCTACAGATGATCACACTCCAGGCCATGATTATTATACCACAGGTTATCAAACTCTGTGATTAGGTACTCCAGACTATATCATACAATCATTAACCAAGCTATCATCCTACTCCAGGTTATCATGCTCCGGAGTATCATATCCTGTGTTTTCGCACTCCAGTGCCATTTTTGTTTATATTGCATTCCAAACAGTTTGACCAGAATTATTCGTTTATGAAATAGGGACTGTCCTATAGTGCATGTTGTTTTTCGGCGAAAGCATTGGCAAAGATTTTCAAGGCTTTTATTAACATTTGAAGGTCTGTCAGATTTTACCCCTGAAATATTACCTTAAAAAATGAACAAACAGATTGGTCAGCATAAACAAGTAGGCCCCAGATCTATGAGATTTTTTGAAATAAACTCTCGGTAAAACTTTAATTTCCTGTTGTACTGGACAGAATAACAACTTCAACACTCCAATCTCCTCAATATATTTTATCTGTTTACCAAATTAGAATAATAAGAATGTACATTAGTTTCTGCAACAAAAGTTTTGTGTTTTACACCATCTGTTAAATAAGACTAAGATACTTCTAGGTTTTGTTTATCCAAACAACAAATAACATTGTTATAACATAAATATATCTAAAACTATACATTCCTTTACTTCCTTTACTTCCTATACACCAGAAGTTGACTTGTAACTCAATTAGGACACATGGAATGGCATTTATGGACATCCAATGTTATCACATAATTTTCCTAAAATTGATATACAATAGAAGTTCTTAATACATAACACACATGAACACATTTTCAAAATGAATCCTATCAAATACTTAATCATCCCCCCCC